GTAGTCATTCCAATCACTTATTCATTCATATACTAATACTTGATCATTTTCCATGCCAAATTCAGAGCTGTTCTAAGTACAATTCCACTGAAATCAATGGACATTCACCAGGGATAATTTGGCCCAATATCTTTCAAGCACTTTACAAACATGAATGGATGAATTCTCATACCACCATTGGAGACAGGCATTATTACCTCCCCAAATATGGAAAAGGGCTTAAGGGCCTGCTTTAGTGAGGTGCTGAGGACCTACAATTTCAGCTGAAGTCAATAGGAGTTGCAGGTGCTCATGCCTCTGAAAATTAGATCTTAAGTGATTACCCAAAACTACATTAGCAAAACCAGGATTAGAATTCAGTGGTTGTAGTTTCAATCCCATGATCAGATCACACTTCTCCCTAACACGTTCCTGTTCCACTGTTTTTTTAAATAGTGTCAATTTTCTGTGCTTACCTGATACTTAGAGGGACAAGTTTTGTCTGACTCTCTCCCCACTAAGACCATATTTTTACCATTAAAATTACTAATACTGAAAAAAAACCTGTGAAACAAAGTTGTAACAGACATAAAAAACTAAAGACCGAGAACTAAGGACCGTCACAAACCTCATCACCTTTTGCTCCAACTGCAATGTGCATTTCTTTGATCTAGCCTTGTCTAACATAAACACATAGCAACAACAGGTATATTGCGGGGGGAAAATCTACCAAACCAAGACACTCCACTGCACATGCTTCTCCCCCTGGGGAGAGGATAAGAAACCAAATACATGACAGATGCTTTCTCCCATGCTGTTTCTCACTCTTGGGAGAAGCTTCAAGCTTCCTATAAACATCCACAAAACTAACTCATTATCCTCCTTCAAATCCCTCCTTAAAACTCTCCTTTGTCAAGATGCCTACAAAAATCTTGACAATGGCTAGGGCTGCTGGTGTGGTGAGACTACTGCCTATCATGCTGACCAATATTGTTTCTTTGTACTCCTCATTGGTCTGTCTGTATCTATCTGTTCTCTTTTGTCTTATACTTAGATTATACGCTCTTTGGAGCAGGGACTTTTTGCTCTGTGTTTGTACAGCACCTAGCACAATGGGATCTTGGTCCATTACTGGGGCTTATAGGTGTTACTATAATACAAATAAATAATAACAATAAGTAATACATTACTGGAAGGTTCACAGATACTATGTTGCTGAGCGAGGTAAAAGAACATATATAGAATAGAAACATCCACTACGTTTTATAATAGTTGTCATCTTTTGTTTTTCTAAACCGAGCTATAACCCAGGGGCCAAATCAGTCCCCAGTTATAGCTCTTTAGGCCACTCCAGTGGAATTAAAAGGGCAGATGGTTCCCTGCCCAGATATGGTTGGCAGAGCATGGATGCCACCCTCCTGTGCAGCTCTGAGCATAGAGGTATCATGGGTGTGCCGAGGATGGGGTGATTTAAATTAGGGCAGGGATATAGACCAAGCATCTTGAATTTGGGAGGCACAAAGGTGGCATAAGGTGTAAGGTGAAGCTCAGAATCTGTCTCCTAACATTGTGTGTGCTTGAGCCTTCTGCTGACATCAGTGATGCTGGTTCACACGCAAGGAAGCAAAAGCAACAAGCTTTGGCATTGGGCTTAATGCCCTCTGGCGTATCTGGCACACACAACAATTCTGATCACCCAGGCTGCAGGCATTTTAAACCGGCTGGGAGACCGTAGTTTAAATTCTCACTCATTGGTGGATGATTTATTTTGGATTAATTTTAAGGGAGTATTTTTTTTTCTTTTAAAACAGCTCGCTCTTTATGCTGAAGGATCTAGCTTTGTTTTCTCTCACTAAGAACAGAGGAGACATGGGCTCTATTTCCACCACTGACTCATTGGACTGCCTTGAGGAAATCAGCTCACCTCTATGTACCTCAGATTCTGGATCTGTAAAAGGCAGGTAAGAATGCTCCCTCCCTAAATCCTCCCTGCTTTGCAAATCACTTTCATCTTTGGATGAAAAATGCTATAGGTTAAACTGTAACTGTCCAATATCTGCTCTAAGTAAGGGGCAGCATATATCTACGCTGCCACAAGAACAGACCAGGGACTTAACTGTGACTCAGAGAGTCACAATTCCTCTGCAGAAGTTTATCCCTTTTTGTGGAGCAGTTTATGCCATCTTGTTTACCCAGCCAGCTATGTTGGCTGGCAAGTATGGGGGTAGAAGGGAAATACAGCCGGGGATCCTCTGACTTGTTTCCCCTCTCTGCATCTTGCCTGCCCACTTGCTTACAGATAGAGTATCTCCTTTCCATAGCTGGAGTTATGATCTGAGCAGGGCTAAGCATAGGATTAAGAACCTAAGAATGCCTATACTGGGTGAGATCAATGGTCCATCTAGCCCAGCATCCTGTCTTCTGACAGTAGCTGGTACCAGATGCTTCAGAGGTAATGAACAGAACAGGGCAATTATCGAGTGACACTCCCCCACTGTCCCTGTCTGGCATTCAGAAGCTTAGGGACACCCAAAGCATAGGGTCACTTCCCTGACCATCTTGGCTAATAGCCATTGATGAACATATTCTCCATGAATTTATCTCATTCTTTTTTGAAGCCAGTTATACTTTTGGCCTTCACAACATCCCCTGGCAACAAGTTCCAGGGGTTGACTGTGCATTGTGGAAAGAAATACATCCTTTTGTTTGTTTTAAACCTGCTGTCTATTGGTTCTTATGTTATGTGAACAAGTAAATAACACTTCCTTATTCACTTTCTCCAAACCATTCATGATTTTATAGATCTCTGTCATATCCCCTCTTAGTTGTCTTTTCCAAACTGAACAGTCCCCATCCGTTTAATCTCTCCTCATATGGAATCTGTTCCATACCCCTAATAATTGTTTTTGTCCTTCTATGTACCTTTTCCAGTTCTAATATATCTTTTTTTGAGATGGGGTAACCAGAACTGCATACAGCATTGAAGGAGTGGGCGTACCATGGATTTATGTAGTGACATTATGATATTATGATTAAAGGATGTGTTTTACTCCCACAAACAACTGAGTAAAGGCTGTGACAATCTTGCCCTATATGAGTACTAAATATTTAAAATCCCATTCGTAATTTTTTAAAATCAACCCTAATCGTCTCAAAGGTTCCTGATTTCCAGGGCATCTCTCATTTTATAACCATGGTTCCCTACAGTCTACACAAATTTCATGTCCCCTACTGTTGCCAATTCTTTATATCAGAAACAACTGACCATGGAACTGAGGTTATAGACCCATTGGAAGAAATCACACAGCATTTTAAGTTCCCTGCATGAATAGTTTATTTCTCTCTCTCATACTAGGTCTTTGTCAGACTTTGATTGTGCCCCACATTTTGGCTTTGATAAATCAGCTAGAACTGTTCAAAAAATTTCAAAATTAAAAATGTCAAGACTTTTTTTGTCAGTGTTGACCAATGAACGAAGAAACAAACAAAAGGATGAAATTTGGGACCAACTCTTGAACTAACCTAATTCCAATTGTTCCGGTCTAAGTGCAAATTGGGAGAGTTAGGCCCTGATCCTGCAAGGAGCTCAGTTCAGGAGGGCAGTATTACCAACCACTAGTGTTCAAAAATCATGAGTCAGGCCTTGAAAAAATCGTAAAGATTACTTTAAAAAAAACTCAGGATTTTTAAAATTAGGGGGTTTTATATTTGCCTTCTCGTGGTTTATTTAGCCTTGAGGGGTAGGGTGACCAGATGTCCCGATTTTATAGGGACAGTCCCGATTTTTGGGTCTTTTTCTTATATAGGCTCCTATTACCCCCCATACCCTGTCCCGATTTTTCACACTTGCTGTCTGGTCACCCTATTGAGGGGTCACATTTTTCAGATTTCCACCTGAAACTGCTAGACATGTACTTTTTCTTTAAGCGTCTCCTACAGCCACAGGGCCCCTGAGCTGGGGGCTTTACAAAACCCACCACCTACAAACAACTCCCAACAAGAGCTGGCGATATACAGCCAGCAGCTGCTCCGGGTCCCTGGGATTCCAGCTCCGCTCGGATCCGGGCCTGTAGGAAACGAGCTTTAGACAGGTCCCCTGGAAACCCATCCAGGCAAACCCTCCTTGCTCGGCGGGACCTGTGCAGGGGCTGGGGCGGAGCCCGGCTCCTGGGGGCTGCGGGGCGCCTTGGCTGCGGCAGCGGCGGGTGCCTCGGGAGCCGGCGCTGGCCGCAGTTGCTGCTGGAGCCGCAGAGGGGCGGCAGAGCCAGGTGGCCGGCGCAGGGGGGAAGGGGAAGGTGGCGGCTCCCGGGGCTGAGGCCCGGGCCGGAAGCCGCGCGGGGGCTGCCGAGTCGCACATGGGCCCTGGTTGCTCCGGCCCCTCTCCCGGCAGAGCCGCTCGCCCCGCGCTGCAGCGCCCGCCATGGCGGAGAGGATCGAGCAGCGCATCGAGGGCCGGCTCCCGGAGCTAGAGCAGCTGGAGCGGGTCGGGCTCTTCACGCGCAAAGAGATTAAGTGAGAGGGGCTGGAGGGATCGGGGCCGGGGAGGGCCGGAGCGGGGGTGGGCAGAGGGTTGGTTCCATAGAGGGTAAGGCCGAGAGAGAGAGAGAGATCCGTGAGTAGCGTGTGTATCGCAGGCCATGAACTACCCAGCAGGACCCCTGTATTGAACCCAATCAGTCTAGTTGGGCTAGTCCCCGGGATACAAAACTGGTCAAGACCCCCTGCAATGGCAGGGAAAGGGGATTGATTAGATAAGGGATGCCCAGGTTCCCAGCCGGCCCCATGCTGCAGAGGAAGTCCCCTCTCCCCCCAGGGTCCCTGCCAATCTGACCTGGGGAGAGATTCCTTCCTAGCCTCAAACCTGGACATCAGTTGGATCTAGAGCATGTGAGCAAGACACAGCAGCCGGGCAGCTAAGCTAGAGGTTTCTCTGTAGCACCTCACAGCATTGATTCATTGTCCCATCTCTGCTGTGGCCATCCTCTGTTCTCTACCCCCACTCCCAATCACATAAGACCAATTGTGCATTGGGGAAAACAAAAATCCTTCCTGACTCCTCCAGGCATGGTCTGAAGACCAGAAGCATGAGATTTGATTACAGTCATTGTCTGAATGTGGACCTGCAAGTGCTCTGAGTATGTTGAGAGAAATAACAAGCAATCCTATTTTCTCCATGTCCCATGAAGGCAAGGGATGAACAGGGAGATTAATAGAATCCAAGGCCAGAAGAGATTATCTCCATCGGCAAGTTGAGCCCCTGCACACACAGCCTATAAAACTTCCCCTAGGCTGGACTAGAGCCCAGTGGATGGGGCCTTTGGGGGTCAGGGCAGAGACTGGGCTGGAGCCCAAGGGATTAGTTTTAGAGGGACAGAGCCCAGGTATTGTGGGGGAGGGAAGGTTGAGCTTGAAGCTGGGTTATGGGGTGGGAGCTGAGGCTATTGGGGGTCTGAGACAACAGCCATATTGTTGGGGTATGTAGAGACTGAGCTAGAACCAAGGTTATTGGGGTCAGAGACCAGGTTATTAGGGGAAGGGATGGAGATTATTGGGATGAAGAGCTGAGCCAGAATCAGGACCCACAATATGAGGCGAGAGGGACTGGGGCTGCATTGGAGCACAGAGCCCAGTTTATCAGGGAGACAGGAGTGTAGGACACTGGTTGTGGGAGGCAGAAGCTGGACTGCAGCTCATGTTGTTGGGGAAGGGGTTGAGCCTAAGCCAGTATTATCAGGGTCTGTGAGGAGGAACAGGCAGAGGCTTGGGTAGAATTCAGTTCAGGTTATTGGAGGGTGGGAGAGGACCCACCTGGGTCCGGTTATGGGAGAGGCAAATGGAGGCTGAAATAGAGCTCCATGCGCATGTTGTTGGAGGTGGTGAGCGGAGTGCAGGTTTTTGTCAGGCAGGAGTAGTAAATACCAGTTTAGCAACTAAACGAAAAAAATCCAAGGGATGTAGGCAGTCATTTGCCAGAATTGTGATTAAAGTTTGAAAAGGGAGGTTTTTGGCTTAATTTTAATTTTCTCTGGGTCAGAAGAAGCTGGGTGTGGACTGGAAATCTGTCTTGTGTTTTATTTGAGGCTGTTGTAACAACTTAGCAGAAATGTGCTTGGCTGGAGTAGTATGGGAGACTGTCCAAGAACCCAAGGTCCAAAGAGGCTCAGTGCCTGTAACTGTAGGATGTCACAATGGGCGGAGATAGAATTCAAGAATGAACAGAATGGAGACTGTGCCTGCATCACAAACATGTGTAACAATTTGACACTTCATTGTTTGGTCATCATTTGATTCTTGCCACATGGAAAAGGAATGACAAGAACAAAACTGAACTTAAAACCTGCCCTGTAGAAAATGCCTGTGCTGCTGTACACTACAGCAATGTCAGTTTTTCGGGGATTAAGAATAATTAAAGAATGCCTAAAAATGGAATTTTTACATTTCTCCAGGGCAGTCATTAAGAAAGCGTCAGCTCTAGAATACAAAATACAGAGGAGAGCTCTCCGTAAGGAAGACTTTATCAATTACATTCAGGTATGTTTTATTAAGGGTTATTGGCTTAGTCAGGTCCTTTAATAACACTAACATTACATGAGGAAGCATGTGCTAGTGGTTAAAGCACAGGACTGGGAATCAGGTGTTCTGGTTTCTGTTCCTGACTCTGGCACAGACTTGCTATGTGACCCTGGACAAGGCACCTAATTTTGCTGTGCGTCAGCTTCCTTCTCCATTCAGAAATGTTGAGGCTTAGCTAAGACGCTGTCCTAAAGGTGCTAGAGAAATGGAATTTATTATTAATAATAAAGTGTGACCTATTTTGTGGTAGCATTTAACTTAATTAATTGAACTTTTGAACTACTTTAGGGTGCTTGAGAGTGTTTGAAATGTCACACCTGAAATAAATAGTCCAACTGGAGTGCTGGCAACTTCTGTAGCTGCATAACTGACAAATGTTTGGCTCGAACTTGATAGCTACTCTCATGGATATAATTCTTATTGTCCACCTGATTAGCTGTTTAACAGCTATAAAGGGTTTGACTCGGAGATTAAGTTTTTTCTTGCAATTACTTTGTAATTGTTTTCTCCACTTCCCCTAGTATGAAATTAATCTGTTGGAACTGATCAAGAAAAGAAGATCGGTAAGTTGATGAATTCCTTACAATGCAAAGTATCATAAATCAAATCTTGACAGGGCTGGAAAATTAACTATTATTTTTTCCCACCCCTCAGCGCATTGGATATTCATTTAAGAAGGATGAGATTGAGTATTCTATTGTGCAGAGAATACATGGCCTCTTCAGGCGTGCCACAGAAAAATGGAAAGTAAGCACATTTCCTTCTGTAGGTCCTGGCAGTATTAAACAACCTCTTGATGCAATGTGATGTAAGAGAATAAATACAAGCATAACTGCTAACAAGTAACTGTGATAATGCAGGAGAATATAAAAGAAAAGTTAAATGGATGTTTGTTCAGATGGTGATAGTTTAGGGGTAATGCTCCCGTATCTGATACCCAGCCTCTTGGAGGGACAATATTCTGTCCTGTGAACAGATAGACTCTATGATCTACTAGGTCTTTCTCCTCTCTAGCTGCTGTAGTTCTTTTATATTGCCATGTGAATTTGTCTGGCAAGGGCTGGAAACTTGGAGTAGTTTCAGGTGAAAGGTGTTTCCTTGAGTCATCCGGCAGTAATACCTCTTCAGGGTGATGAAGGAACTGTGCTGATGAGTTCTGTATGGTGCAGGCAGTTGATGGGGAAAGATGAGACTGTATTTTGGGATTGAGGGATGGCATCCTTGCAGGGATGTGGGGATTTGCATGCATGGGTGGAAGGTATGAAGGAAGGGAGAACCACAAGCTGCAGTGACTAATCTACTTCAGTCATAACAAATGTACGCTCTGTACTTTTCAAAACGCACAAGCAGTTCTAAAGATGTATTATTGCAGTGTTGTTTCTTCCTAGTTAATCCTATCTCCTTGCCTTTCCAATAGGATGACGTGCAGCTGTGGTTGTCACATGTGGCTTTTTGCAAGAAATGGGTGAGTATTCAAAATGTTACTTTTCTGTAATTTTATAGAAGTAATGTCTTTAATGCTGAACAAATATGAGGAATACCATTCCCAAAAGGCAATCTTTTTCTGGGCAGGGAAGTTACTAAAAATAGTGGGGTTGGAATGGAAATGCCTTTTTCATCTCAATGTAGTGTGGCTGTCAATGCTTCCTAATGCATCTTTGTTGCACATGGTTCAGTTCACTGCTAAAATGTTCACAACAGGTAAAACTCAAGGAGTTCTCTTGTCTTTACAGAATAAAAAAATTCAGCTTAGCAAGGTGTTTTCTGCCATGCTAGCCATTCATCCGAACAAGCCAGGTACAGTAAAATTCTTTTTAGTGTCTTGTGTTCAAGTCAGCCGATTTGGTTCATTTAGAAGAACAATATAATATGCTAGTGTCAATCCAACCTACTGCTCTTTGAGATCCCAGTTCAACTCTTTAACAATCCCTCTCTTGCATTTTGCACCTTGCTGCTCCTCTAAAGGGAATGTCACTGCAATGAGAGGGCTCTCAAGGAAGGCTCATGCTAGCAGATCAGGAAAAATGGTGTCTGTAGGGGTCCTCAGGTCTCAAAGGCCCTTCCCCTAAGGAGAGCAGGGAACTACACAAGGATCCCTGAAGTAGAACACTTTGAACGGACTACGCTCCCCCTCCCCCCATCCCCCCTTGGGTTTAAAGTCATGTATTGTATTTCCTTGGTGGTACCTTCCAGAATTGCCTCTCTTCTCCCATTAGTCTGGTAGCAGAGACTGAAACAGATCCATTTGTGTGTTCCATTGTAGCATTGTGGATTATGGCTGCCAAGTGGGAAATGGAGGAACGCCTCTCATCCGAAAGTGCCAGGCACTTGTTCCTTCGTGCATTGCGCTTCCATCCAGAGTCTCCAAAACTGTATCAAGAAGTGAGTTTATGGTTCTGCTTCTGTGTATGGTTATGTTTGCTTGGATCCGTCTTGCAAAGATTAGTTTCCCGTTGTCCTGGGAAGCGTGGGTAGATGATTGGTTTTGGACTTAAATGGGTAATATTTCATGACAGTTCTGCAAGATTGGCTTTAAACAAATCAGAGTAAAATCCTCAACCTACGGTTAGGAGAAATTCTGAGTTGCACTTAAACGCCTGTTTCTAGGCATTGGGAGTTCTACAGGAAAAAATTGCTCTGGGTTAGAGCTTGGCATCCAAACTATGTGCTGGGGGAGTTGTTTTATCTTAACCAATTTAGTATAAATAGCCTACATTGCGATCAGATTTGCTTTAGCCTATTTTGCCCTGTCCCCTCACATGCACTCACTTAAAGCCTAGTTCTCCAGGAGTTTTACACTGCTGTAACTCCATTGACTTCCGTTGAGTTGCCTCTAACTTACAACAGTCTAAATGAGAACAGAATCGGGCCCTTAGTTCTGGTTTTCACACCATTAGCTACGGGCGAAGCTTACTGGTTGAGAAAATGAGACTTGAGGAATGACTTCTGTAGGGAGCCAGTTTAGAAGTCAGTGAAGGTTCCTACTTGGTAAATGTGAATTCCAGGGAAGAGAGAGAGTAAGAGGAGCTTTGTAATTACATTACTGCAAGGTTGCTTAATCACAGGAGGCCTGCATTCCCTCCTCTGGCGAAACTCCCATTCACGTCAATGGGAGTCTTGCCTGAGTGCGGAGTATGTCAACTTCCTCTTCGTTAGTATCATGATAGCTGGCATTGCATTGTATCTAGCACTCTTGTTATTTATGTAGTAAGCGAGCTTTCCCTGGCAGGAGCAACCGTAAACACTGAGTACAAAACAAATCCCAAAGAGGGGCTTAAGGGGTGTGTTCCTGGAGCCTTTGGCAAAGAGTAACTCCTACGAAAGTCAGTGCTGATTGTGGGTCATGAGATTCCTATTATAGGAGATACTATTTCTAAAATGGAAAACGGCTGGTCGTCTGTCATCTGATTTCAATGTACGTACGCTTGTTAATTGGATCTAGGGCTATACAGTGATCCCTTGCTAAAGTGCACACGTCATAATCTGTATATATAATGGGCGGTGTCCCCCTCACATCTCAGCAAAGATGGAATAGCAGATGCTGCAGTGAACTGAAATATCACTAAGATGTCATTGTTTTTGCAAAACGTTTTACTGTCCACTTGCTAATGCAGTGTTATCACAAATAAAGCTATATTACCGTTGCTTAAAATAAGTCAGCAAACTACATATTGTGATGCATTAATCCTATATTTTTAAAATAGCCGTTTCATTGCTATTTCTCAAAACGTAGTCATTCACAATGGGACTCCCAGACATTGGTGGGAAGTTCTGACTTGCAAATCTTCACAAGGCTTGCTGTAGTAAATGTCCACGTGTTTGTTTACGTGCGCCATAAATATTTACCCCCCTCCTCCCTTCCCATTTTATCCCCCCTATTGCCTGCAGTATTTCAGAATGGAACTGATGCATGCTGAAAAGCAGAGAAAAGAAAAGAAAGAGTTTGAACAAGCCAAGATGGACTTGGTAGGACACTTGCAATTTCGGTTATTTAAAATGGATTGTTTTGTAGACAGGCAAATGCTCTTTAAGATAGATGGTTTTAGAAGTATATAGTACAGTAGAACCCCGTTTCTCTGACCCTCCATTCTTTGGCTCTCTCCATTAACTGAACAACCAGCGCACACAGATCCAGAAGCGGGTGATCACTCCTGTTGCCGCTAGATGGCGCTGCAGCCTTGCACTTTCCCGTTCTCCAGGTTATCTCAATTTTTGATTATCTGATCTGCCCAAGTCCCAATTAGATCGGATAAACGAGGTTCTGCTGTAATTGCCTGAACTGCTAGAAGTGCACCTTTTAAGTGTACTGTTTGAGATCTATAGCCATTTGGAGGAACCAGTCTGTTTGTTCAATTATAACTTATGTTCCTGTGGATATCAGACCTTTGGCTACAGGTTTGTGGTCAGATCACATGGTTTATACCTTTATTTGACTTTCCTTAAGGGAACACAATAGTTGTTGGTAGAGGCCTTTTATTTTTGTTTGCTTTCTGTACCCACCTGTTTAAAAGTAACTACCGGTTTCTGATGAAGACTAGTTAAACTGGTTTCCTCTCTTTTGTAGTAGGGATTGATTTAATTCTAATCTGTCTCTATAAACTAGACAGGGATGTGTTGTGGTGGAGAAAAATTTCCATCACCAGTTCTAAATCTTCTTTGCAGAGAATGGAAGTCCAAAAAGAAACAAAATTCTCTAAAGTTAGTTATCTCACATTTTAGGGCGAGTTCAGTTATTCTGAAGAGGTTCTTAATGGGGAAATGGCTCGAATAATCTACAGAAATGCTGTTCAGAAAATCAAAGGTAATTGAATGCTTCCCTTCTCCTCTTGTTTAATGGAAAAACGACCACGTTGGAGTGAGTCTCTGGTACCTATTGTGGCTAGTTCTGGCTTCATTGTATGCACGGAGATGTGTCCTCAATTGGTAAAATTCACCCTTTCCTGCACAAAACCTGAGCAGTATGGAGGTACTAAGTGGGTAGCACTAAATGGTAATTCATAGCCATTTTTCAGGCTGGCACCTTCTCTGGCTCACCTGCCTTTTGCCTGAAATAGCAGCTGTTGCCCTTCCACACCCCTTATGTTTGAGTTCACAATCCCTAGATCTGCATAAACACAAGATCAGGCCCATAGTCATTTGTAAAAATCAAAAAATCTCTTCTGGATACAATAGTGAGATTAATACAAATTATAAAGCACGTCTCATTAACCCCTTCTCTCTTCCCCGCATGCTCTATTGTAAATCTGCTTTTTCCACTATGACCTCGATTAAAACCAAGCATAGAAATATTTTCAGGATCAAAAAGGATGTGACTCAATCTGCAGTCCTCACTCAAGCAAGAAGTGCCGTTCCCCTCCAAAAGACTCCTGGTGACAGTATGGGTTGCAGGGTCATGGCCTTGCTTGTCCAAATGACTAATGTGAAACAGACAGTGAAAAATAAACAGATAAATAACATCTGGTCTGCCCTAATATATGCATTAGAATGATTACTTTTTAGTAGCTGGATAGATTTTACAATATTGTATCAACTTTCTTGGAAACGTGTAAAACCTTTGAAAACCAGCAAAGATGACAGAAATGCAGTGTACCAGATGAATGTAGTATCTTACTTGTCATTGAGTTTTTTTGCTCTCTTGATCTTAGGTGCTGAGTTCTGCCTGTCCTTGCTTTCAATTGCAAAGCTATTTGATTTTACACAAGACTTGCAAAAAGAAATTCTTGAAAAGTAAGTTGATTTAAAAATAAATAAATAAATAAATACATCACCAGCGAGGTCCTAATTTCTGGCCAGTTGACAGTTTGGTGTCCGAGACGCTTTACTGGGGAAGTTGGATGTCAAGATCTAACAAAACTTCCTTTTTAAGAAAAAGACCAATTTTAGTGTCAAACAAACGAACTTTGGTGCCCCAGGCAAGCCAACTTTCTGGAGGAGGATGGTGTGTGTGTGTAAGTAATGCAAAATTAGCTTCACTTGAGATCATGCTGATAAAATGTGGATAAAAAGCGCTTGTCCTCGGAGAATGACTTTTTACACTCGGGATAACAATTTGCAGGAAATGTATAACTTCCTAGTTCACTTAGTTGTTTGTAATTGTGTATCTTAAGTTTTCCAATGCATTTCTTTTTCCAAAAGAGCTGCTTCTAAAGCTGACAGTCAAGTTCAAGCACTGTTGCAAAGAAATAGGCCAAAATTTTGGTTAGCTGCCTCTTATGGAAGGTTGAAACATTTTATCAATGAAATTTAATTCCTTAGAATTGTCCCCTTGCAGTAAATGGCAATTGGCAACTTCATAATTGCACTCCTAGAATGAGCTTAAAGCAAGATGGCAGTTTGCACATGATGACATTGTGGACTGTGTGTGTTAGCTTGCAGGCTGAGCATGCTGATGATCCTCTTACATGGGACTACATGGCCCGTCGGGAGCTGGAGATGGGGTCCTTGCCATCCCCAGAATGTTCATCTAAACAGATGAAAGCATCCGAGGTGGCCCAGAAAGAGGAGCGGTGCTGCGCAGTCTTTGAGGAAGCAGTGACAGCGCTCCCCACAGGTTAGAAATTCTGCTTTGATTTTAAAATTGGTTTTCTCAATATTTTTGTATACTAGCGCTTGTGAGAAATGTTCAACAAGGCTTCCTAAACTATCTTATAGCAGGGCCTCATATCTTGGGGAAACCACCTCCTCCATATCCAATTCTACGGGCCATGTCCCTGCACACTCACAAACCTGCAACATCCTTGTAGCAAAGGCAGCAATTGCTTACATGGAATAGCATACTGGAAAAGCATTTATTTTTAGCTTTTTTTGGAATGTGACTTAGTGAATAGGGAGAGTCTGAAGCTTGCAACCAGCCCGATCTCTGCAGACCACTGTTTGGAAACCATTGATAGAGAATAATCAGTTTTAAGCATCTGTCTGATGGAAACCCATAGAATTCAAATATATTGTAACTAAGCAGCATACATAGAATGTCAATGGAATGGATCTTTGTACTTGGCTCCCACCTACACTAAACATGATTGCATTTGTAAATGCAATTGTGGCCCAGACATGTTTAAACGGTTTTTTTTTATATAGCTTATTTAGGGAATGACTATAGATTTACCAGCCACTATCTCTGGATAGTGGTATCTCTGGGTGGCAGCCTGTGGGAAGACATGGGCTGTAGTAGAATCATAGAAATGTACGAATGGAAGGGACCTCCAGAGGTCCTTTAGTTCAGCCCACTGCGCTGAGGCAGGACCAAGTCTACCTAGACCATCCTTGACAAGCGTGTCTAATCTGTTCTTAAAATCCTCCAATGATGGGGATTCCACAACCTCCCTTGGAAGCCTGTTCCAGAGCTTAACTACCCTTAGAGTTAGAAAGGTTTTCCTAATATCTAACCTAAATCTTCTGTGCTGCAGATTAAGCCCATTACTTCTTGTCCTACCTTCAGTGGACATGGAGAACAATTGATCACAGTCCTCTTTATAACAGCCCTTCACATATTTGAAGACTTATAAATCCCTCCTCCGTCATCTTTTCTCAAGACTAAATGTGCCTAGTTTTTTTAACTGTTCCTCGTAGGTCAGGTTTCTAAAGCTTTTTATCATTTTTGTAGTTCTCCTCTGGACTCTGTCCACATCTTTCCTAAAGTGTGATGCCCAGAACTGGATACAGTATTCCAGCTGAGGCCTCACCAGTGTTGAAGAGATTGGGACAATCACCTCCCATGTCTTACATATGCACTCATGTTAATATACTGCAGAACTACATCACGTTGTTGGCTCCTTTAATTTGTGATCCACTGTAACCCTCAGATCCTTTTCAGCATTACTACCACCTAGCCAGTTATTCCCCACTTTGTAGCTGTGTATTTGATTTTTACTTCCTAAGTGTAGTACATACACTTGTCTTTATTGAATTTCATCTTGTTGATTTCAGACCAATTCTCCAATTTGTCAAGGTCATTTTGAATTCTAATCCCATCCTCCAAAGTGCTAGCAACCCATCCCGGTTTGGTGTCATCCACAGATTTTATAAGCATACTCTTCTTTCCATTATCCAAGTCATTAATGAAAATGTTGACTAGTATCCGAGCCAGGACTGACCCCAGGACTGACCCCTCGCAGTTTGACGGCGAACCATTGATAACTACTCTTTGAGAACAGTCTTTCAATCAATTGTGCACCCACCTTCTAGTAATTTCATCTAGACCACATTTCCCTAGTTTGCTTATGAGAATGTCACGTGGGATTGTCAAAAACCTTACTAAAATCAAGATATATTATGTCTGCTGCTTCCCCCTCCATTCACTAGGTCAGTGACTCTGTCAAAGAAGGAAACTGGGTTGGTTTGACATGATTTTTGTTCTTGACAAATCCACACTGGCTATTACTTATAACCTTGTTTTCCTGTAGGTGCTTACAAATTGATTGTTTAATAATTTGTTCTAGTGTCTTTCCAGGTATCGAATTTAGGCTGACTGGTCTATAATTCCCTGGGTAGTAGGAGCCTGGCCTACTGCTACTGTGCCGCTAGGTCCTGGAGGATAATCTCCAACCTGTGCATTTGTCCCTCACTTGGTCTTCGTGTCAGGAACCACGTTTCATCCTCATTTTGGCCCCAGTTCAGCAAAACACTTAAGGACGTGCTTCAGTTCCATGGATTTCAATAGAACTGAAGGATGCACTTAAAGTTAAGCATGTGCTAAAGTGCTGTTGTGAATGGGGATGGACTTAACCCTGTGATTAAATGCTTTACTGACTTGCGGCCTGAATGCCCTTCAGAGTAAACTTACAATTGGATTGAAGGCTATTTGCTAAGCATTAACGTCTGTAGTTCATATTGCAGACAAGTTATTTTAAATATTCATTTGGCATAATTATGGATGCATTATCTATAGTATTTATAATTGGAGTAGTGCTTGACATCTCACCCTTCCCCCTCCACAAGACAGGTGTCTGTGCTTTCTGCTATGGGTTTGTTCAATGTTTGTTCACTTTGCAGAGGCCATGTGGAAATGCTATGTCACTTTTTGCCTGGAGAGACTTAACAGGAAAACCAATAGTGAGGAATTGAGACGGAAGGTACGTGTTCATCATACATTCATAGTACCAAAAGCTACTGCTGTCACTGACTTCCATAGTCTGTCTTCGTGACACCCTTGTTAAACTAGGGTAGATTTCCAGCAATTTGAAACAAATAATACAGCTCATGTGAGAACAATTGGCTAGTTATTTGGACCGATAGCTGTCATTAAGGATCAGTTGTTCTCCCTGTTAGGCATCCTCCTTCAGGGCTATATAAATCAGTCTTCCCATTTGGTCACCTAGCTGAAAATTGGCACGCATGTACCCAGATGTGAATCAGTCTTGTTCTGTATGGGGTGGGAAAGCCTGAAACTGATTAAACATTTTTCATTCAAGTAAATGACCAGAAGTTTGGGGCTTTCTTTGAGTTCCTGAAGTGGGGAGGAAAAAAACCTTAATCATAAAACCTGAACTTGTATGCAATGCGAGTTAGCAGCTTTTGCTTAAGTTTCTTTACTGATACTTTTATAAACAAAAGCTATATAAAAATAATGTTGAGTCGAACATAACCCAACAGCAAAGAATTTTTTAAATTTCATTATATTTATAACAGTTTTCATCCAGGGATCTTAACTTTCCCTTCTAAAGTGGTTTAAGTATCCACCCCATTCTACAGATGGAGAAACTGAGGCAGAGAAAGACTTGCCCTAGATCACACAGTGGGTCAGTGGAAGAACTGGAAATAGAACCCAGGTGTCATTGCCTCAGCCTCTGGACCATGCTGCCGTATCTGGTTCCTGTCCAGTCTCATTACAGCATTCTCAAAAGAGATGGTGATCTTTAATATTCAGAAAAATGTAGTGGCCAGAACTGGGCACTGGAATCCTTGGCTCTCCTGTATTTCCAGGACTGCTCTGTGACCGTGGCCTATGGCTTGATCTTTCTATGGCTCAGTTAACCAATCATAGAATATCAGGGTTGGAAGGGACCTCAGGAGGTCATCTAGTCCAACCCCCTGCTCAAAGCAGGACCAATCCCCAACTAAAGCATCCCAGCCAGGACTTTGTCAAGCCTGACCTTAAAAACCTCTAAGGAAGGAGATTCCACCACCTCCCTAGGTAACTCATTCCAGGTAACTCCCAGTGAAAAAGCTTTTCCTAATATCCAACCTAAACCTCCCCCACTGCAACTTGAGACCATTACTCCTTGTTCTGTCATCTGGTACCACTGAGAACAGTCTAGATCCATCCTCTTTGGAACCCCCTTTGAGGTAGTTGAAAGCAGCTATCAAATCCCCTCATTCTCTTCTCTGCTGGGTATAATACGTGTTGCCTTCCCAGAGGGCAAAAGAAGCTTAAAGTTGGTCAAGTGCTGTGAGCTCCTTTGAATGAAAGGCGCTGTAGGAGCACAAACTTCTTAATATGCTGTACCAGCACTGCAAAATCGTACTTGCTTAGAGTGAGCGTTATTTTGATGGGTAAATAGACAGTTTTTTCATTATCTGGATGAACAGATTTTAGTGCCTGGACTGCTGAATCTTCCTCACAGCTCTTCTGTGCTTAAATTGGACTGGCTGAATTAAGAAAGCTGTTGCCTTAACTATTTCCCTTGCATTTGACTCTTTAAATTAGCTATTTATGGTTTGACCTTGCCCTTAAAACTGCAAGGGAGCTTTGCTATGTTTCTTGTACAATCAGTCTGCAAGGTACCTGTATGCATAGAATCATAGAATATCAGGGTTGGAAGGGACCTCAGGAGGTCATCTAGTCCAACCCCCTGCTCAAAGCAGGACAACATCTGTCTCTAAAAGAAGCATCTGTCTCTAAAAGAAGGATGGAACCTTAAGGCTGAGGAACTTGATGTCACTTGTAAGCTGGAATTTACAAAGGAGGCTTAAAGGGTTAGGCATCCATCTTCCATTGCATTTCAGTGGGATTTGGGCTCCTTAGAAAGCCCCCACCTTGAAAATGTAAGCTGGATTTTGGTAGACTCTGGCATGTACAGCAGCCAAGCTTATTTTCTTTCTCTTTCAGAGGCTAGAAAGGACTTTGAGTGTATTCAGCGGAGCCCATGAGTCCACCTTGCTGCCAGAGACTTTATACAAACAGTGGGTAAGGATATATGCAGGAAACTAGATTGGGGCCCTGATTCTGAATTGCTTGCACTCCCAAAATTGCCATTCAAGTAAATAGGAGCTTTGGATGTGCAGGAATGCCAGATCAGGGCCTAATTTCTTGATAAACTATGTGGACCTGCCTTGTTGATTAACTTCAACTGCTGTTTCAGCTTCACCTGTTACTGGAGGTTGGCCTTTCTGAGAAGGCAACAGAGGTAGCTGCAGCTGCAACCAAACGGTTCAGCCAATCGGTGGAAATGTGGCACACGAGACTGCAGGTGCTAATCAAACTGAACAGCAGCGATGTGGCCCAGTGTTTTGAGGAAGCTGTGAGACAGGTGAAATCTAAGGTCTGTGACTATTTTAATCTGTTGCACAATACTCTACGACAAGAACCCTCTGACCCGTGGCTTTACACTTACTTAAAATTGTAAAGCCCCAAACCAGTCTTTAAAATAAATATATATGGGCTCACTATTCAAAATACACATTACGTTCAGGTCTGTCAGTGAAATGCAAACAAAATCATGACTTTTAAAAAATTTTAAACTTGAAATTCAAGGATTTGAACAATGAATCCTGGTGCTAGGTTCCGTGTCCTTTTAGTGGCCAACTGGCATTCCCTGTGTCCGCCTTGGAGAGGCACCCATGTGTTCTTGCATCCCAGCATACCTGCTTTGCATGGCCGGGCAGCTGCCCCCGAAGTGCTGGGGGTGGGAGGGGGATGGAGTGTAGTGCTTTGATCAGCTGGCTGGGCATTTCCCCCCACCCCGGAACTGAACTCCAGGAGGTAGAGGACACAGGAAGGGTATATATTTCCCCCTTCTGCTGCCTTTGGACTTCTCTGTCTGGCAATACAAAAGGACCCACTCCAAGCATGATGTCTAGCAGCTGTTAAGCCAGGCAACATTTTCCACCTGGAAAGGAGGAAGATTATGGAGGCATATGTAATCTAGCTGCTGTTTGTGCATGGGGACTAGTCCTTTGTTCATGACAGTCCTTTTTGATGGGTGATTTTGCATCCAGATGTACAGCATCTAGGTTAGGACATGGTGGATGTTGGCTGGAAATGTTTGTATAAAATTGTTTTTAAACTCTCTGGTGACTGTTGCATTTTTATGCAAATCAGGCTGAGCCTTGGCCCTGAGCTTTCACTGCTTCCTTTTCTTTTATAGGGCTGTTTACCGTTATGGACTCTATGGGTGGAATGGAGTGAAGGAGCAAACAGCAAGGAAGACACACAAGCCCTCTACCAGGTATTTGGCCGAGGGAAATATAATTCCTCTTACTGTGTGAAATGGACTAGAAAGTCAATAATGGCCATGAGGTACTGGGACAGTACGTGGGGCATGCTTAACATGCGTTTTCTACAGGCAGCCCTTGTCTCAGGCTTTGATCACCAGTCTGAATGCAGTGCTGGTGAAACATTTGGGGAAAATGTTTAAAGAGGACTAAGTGCCATAGGCTCTAAGGGTATGTTTCTGCAGCCCGTGACAGTGAGCTTTCCAGCTTGGATTGACAGGCTTAAGGCAGTGGGGCTAGTGCTCTAAAAATAGCTGTGGAGAAAGCGCTCTGAAGTTGTGGTTCTGAAGCTTAGGGAGAGGGGTGGGCTTCAGAGCCCCAGCTCCAGCCTGCTGAGCCACAACATCTACACATCTGTTTTTAGCATAGTAACACACGCCCGTCTGCCAGCCCGGGCTGGGAGGCTTGCTGTCGCAGGCTGTGTAGACGTAATCTAAAGTGTCATTGAAAATCAGTGAGACTATGAATCATAAGTCACTTCTGAAAAGGAGGCGTAGGTTCCCAAGTCATTTTAAAAAATTTACCCCGATAATATCTGTGTGGCTTCCGATTTGTGTCCTATTTTCAACTGTCAGTTTGTAAAATACTCTCTTGCATACCTAACCTGCTTTATGAAAGCATTAATACTGTACCAGAAAATTAGAGAAAAACATTTTGGTTCTAATCCCAACAGAGACCCCCTGACTAGCCTTGGACAAAATACTTCACCGCCGTGCCTCAGTTTCTCTACTTGTAATGTAAAATAATTGTTTCTTATGGGACGTTTGAGAATTAATTTGTCTGTAGAGCATTTTGAGATCTTCCAGATGAGAAGTGTTATGGAAATGTAAAGCATTAACTCTTTAAACTGACTTGAATATTGAAAAGGAAGAAATTTTAGCTCTAATTTAAGTTTAGAGGTTTGTAGTTGAAAAATATTGGGTTTGCGGCATCTGCCATTTTTCAGCTACAGTTTAGGATACTCTTTTTCCAATACTTGAAATTCAGCCTCTTTCTCAGGAGACAGCTATTTGACGCCAATGTATTTGAAAATGGAGACAAGGAATTGAAAGGAATTATTTGGTATAGTTCTCTGCAGTTACTTTGTAACTGTAGCAAAGATCCTGTGTGTTTAACTTGCAGAGATCCTTATTTGTCATAGCCCCAGCTGACTCAGTAACCATGAAAGAGAAGTACCTTGATTGGGCCTACAGAGATGGCGGTTATAAGAAAGCAAAGAAAGTCTTTACCAGGTGAAAAAGAAAAATCTGAAATCTGGTCTTTCTAACATATGTTTGGAGGAGATCTAAAGTCTAAAGTTCTTAATGCTTTCATTTTAGCCTGCATGAAAGTCGCCCATTTTCACTCGAGTTCTTCAGGAAAATGATTGAAATAGAGAAGGAGCAAGTAAGTGTTACATATCAACTTAGTATTGTATTTTGTAGGACATGTGTTAGAGCTTTGGAGTTGAATAGGAAGGGGTAGTTGGCTGAGTACAAAGTAATTAGGTTGCAGTCATCTCCATATTTGTCTTCTAAAGTGGATCCACACCATTTAATATAAAACTGAGTATCATGCGGTAACTAGTCTTCGAACTTCTGAGCTGTGTGTGTAACAGTGTAATTAAAGTATCTAATCATGCAGTAGCTTGGTTTGTTCCTGTATACAATCAGTGATCTTTAAACTCTTCCTTTCTTAGGAATCCTGCAAGATGCTTAATCTGAGAGAATACTATGAACGTGCCCTGAGAGAGTTTGGTTCTACAGATTCTGGTATGGAGGCTTTTTTGTTCAGTGTCTGTGTTTCCATCAAGCTAAGAAAAGTGGGGTGATCTTCCTGCCCATATGTCTGCTAAACCGCATAGTGCAGCTCGCTGATGCTGTGCCTTTAATAGGGATGGCACTCCAGAGTGATCTTGTCTCATAGAACTTTTAGTCTAGGGGCCTGATTCCAACAAATACTCACGTGGGTAGTCCCACTGAAGTCAGCGGGATTACTTGTGTGAGTCAGGGCTTGTGGGGTTTGTTGACATTGGCTGGCCTAGGGTGAAGCAGCCATCTGTAACTCACTAGTTTTTGTAAAAAGTACAAATCAAGCGCGTGTAATCGTATTGCTTTACACAACATCCCTTTGAGGATAGTATCTCCATTTTACAGATGGTGTGCATATAGGTTAAGCATGTCTCTGTCACAGCTGGGAAGAAAACCCAGTTCTCTGGACTCCATGTCTGGGCTATAACTCCTAGGCAGAGCTTCCTCTGTAAAAGGAATCAAACAGTTGGACTTCACTATATTCACATATGTAACATTTTAATGTGGAGAGCCTCTAGAACGTAACTAGATTTTTTTTTTTTTTTCCCTTTAAAAGATCTCTGGCTAGATTACATCAAAGAGGAGCTAAACCATCCCCAAGGCAAACCAGTAAACTGCGGGAACATTCACTGGAGAGCTATGAAGATGCTAGAGGGAGAGCTAGTAGAAAAATTTGTTTCCAAATACACTTTGCTGCAAACTGGACACTTGTGAAAAATGCAGATTACGTTGAACTTGCAAACGTTTCTGACAGACAATATCAAAGCGCAGAATTTCTGGAGTTAGTTGGTTGTCCACATTTTTGTACAAGATTCTGAAAATAAATACGTTCCTGAACCATCCTACTACGTACGCTATGTTCAAGTATGTTGGAATTCATCTGTGGTCCTAACACACAGCTGCTACTAGTGTTGCATGTCTCAGTGGTGAGTTCCTGTGAAAGGGTACAAATCCACAGTTGAAGAAGAGGAAAAACTCATCACAAAGCAAGTGAAGGCATCTATCAATGTATTTGTAACTGAGAGCTTCTGAGAGCAAACGCTCCCAATAGTCTACGCTATCTGGTGCAGTAAATAGCCACTATACATCAGATTTCACACATTTAAAAGCTTATATTAAAAACTAAAACTAAAACTAAAATTGATGCAAAGAAATTTAATTTCAGTAGAAAGTGAAGCTTGGGTATCAGGCCCCTATAGAGCAATGCAAAATGGAACATAAAGCGACAGTAATTCTGAAAGAAAGGGACCAACTTTCAAAGTGAGGTTTGGTGATAGAGGTAATTTGAGTATTTGCATGTAGTGAACCTTGCCCCTTTCCAACATAACAGGCAGTCATTTAATTTACTAAATTGTAACTTATTGCAATACACTTTTTCATGATTTTATATTTAAATAACTCTCTCAATATGGCCAATTTAAACTCTTTCCATAAATTTAAAAAAAGAAAAAAAACACATTGTCCTGTGTAAACATTTAGAAGCTATTTTTCTGCTCCACTTATTTTGCTCTTTACTGCTGACAAAAACATCTTACTCCTGTGTTTTCTGATGAAGATGAAATGTAATATAAAATACAGGACAAAGGTCTGTTTACTTCCTTCTCCGAACCAGCATCAATGCTCTAGCTGTAGGGGTAATATTTGCTTGTTAATATTGGACATACAAATTTACATATTTTGGGGATCTCCAAAATGTGGGGGCTATCTTTTTTTTTTTCTAGTTTCTTGGCAGAAAATTCTCCCTTCGTTTCCTTCTTTTCATTTTTTGTTGGGGTTTGTGTATGTGGCTTGTTTTTTGTTCCCCTCCAGCCCTAAATACAATTGTAAATGGCCAGTTCTGAGAATCAAAAATGTCAAATGGAGAGATGAGCTGGGATCTGGGTTCTTATGACCCCCCTTCAGTGTGGCAGCTAAGCATTCTCATCTATATTTATACCCACTTGCCCACAAAAACAGAACTAAAATAACACCCATCTCACAATTTCTGCAGAGAATGGTGACTCTCGCTTACAAAGCCATGATTCCAGGTCAAGCTGAGTAATGAATGATACAGTACTGAATCAACATGGAAAAACAGGTACATTCAAAAAGGTGGATGCAGAATGCCATTTTTGGGTGCATGAGATTATCTAAGGTCTTTCTTTGAACTGGTGAAGATGCACAGTATCTTCAAAGACTCTTCCCTCCTCCTCCCCCCATTGAATGTAAGTGAAGTATGACATGGGACAGAGAAGGTACATGCTATAGGCGGACAGAAAATGATGGCGCACACACACAGAATGTTTATCCTGAGCACTGTAGAACAAAACGAATATTCAGTATACTTGGCATAACGTCCATTATTAAGTCACTTCATTTCTAAATGGTCACATGAAAAATCAAATGGTTTAGGCTTATGTTTTGCACGCTTCTGGGGCGTGTGACCAAAATCCTCCATACTCTGATGTATTTTACTTTTCTCCCCCTGCTCAGAAGCAGCAAGACATTGTCAGATTTGAACAAAGTGCCTTGTGGTGTTACTGTGGCTGCCCTGCTAACTGAGTGAGGTGAGAAGCTGTGCCCCAAATTTGTCAGTGCATTTGTTGGCTTCTGCCTTTAGACATGATCCAGTGCCCATTAGAGTCTCTTGGAATCTTCCAACTGATCTCTCTGGTTACTGGATCCAGGACCCCTGACTGGGGGTTTAACATGGCATGCATCCTAATTTGGGGGGTGGGGGAGGGGCAGGAAGTTATCTGGCTACAGAACTAGTAATATTTTGCAATAGTGGAAACTGCTTCCAGTTACAAAGTTGTTATGAGGCCAAACACTTATACTCCATTGTACTATGAGCCCTGGATCCTTTGCTCCAGAAGGGCTTTTCTGTAGAGGACAAGGCACAGAATGAAGAGGGCAGGGGCGGTTTTATGGTGGTATTGAATCCTTACAGTGGATGAAGGTTGCTTCTGTTTTATGCTGCCTGTTGCCCTCATTTGCCCCCACCCCAAGTATGATATCAAGTTTAATTTTAAAATGGAACATTATAGAACAGAGAAATATTTTCTCGAAATATACTAATTGCAGTGCACAAGAACGTTTAAAATAATGTTTCCTAATGATACAGGGAGTGTCCTGGACACTGATGTGCAATAAAGAATTGCTTGAAAAGAGTTTGCTAAGCATTACAGATTGCTCTGACTTTGCATTTGACTTGCTACCTATGATTGATTCACCACCCCTGAAAATGATAAACTGCTTGTAGAGCAGGGGTGGGCAAACTTTTTGGCCCGAGGGCCACATCTGGGAATAGAAATTGTATGGTGGGCCATGAATGCTCAGAAAATTGGGGAGGGGGTGAGGGCTCCAGGGTGGGGCCAGAAAGAAGGAGTTCAGGGTGTGGGAGGGGGCTCCAGGCTGGAGTGGGGGAGTAGGGTGCGGGGGGGTGAGGGCTCTGGGGTGGGGCTGGGGATGAGTTTGGGGTGTAGGAGGAGGCTCTGGGCTGGGACCAAGGGGTTTGGAGGGTGGGAGGGGGATCAGGGCTGGGGCAGGGGGTTGGGGTGCAGAGAGAGGCTTAGGGCTGCAGGCTCCGGGCGACGCTTACCTCAAGCGGCTCCCGGAAGCAGCGGCCATGTCCCCCCTCCGGCTCCTACGCAGAGCTGCGGCCAGGCGGCTCTGTGCACTGCCCCGTCCGCAGGCACCGCTCCTGCAGTCACCCCCTGGAGCTGCAGGGGTGGCGCTTGGGGTGGGAGCAGTGTGCAGAGCGGAGCTCCTGGGCTGCCCCTACACGTAGGAACTGGAGCGGGGCCATGCCACTGCTTCTGAAACAGCAGAGAGCAGCCCCCGACCCTGCTCCCTGGCTGGAGCGCCGGTGCGAGGCAAGCCCCAGACTCCGCTCCCCAGCAGGAGCGTGAGGGCTGACTTAAAATGATTGGTGGGCTGGATCCAGCCTGCGGGCCGTAGTTTGCCCACCCCTGTTGTAGAGAGATTCTTCAGAATCTAGTAGACTAACCGTTTTTTCATTTTAGGAACAGATCTATTGAAAGTCACTTTAACCATTCCTTCCTTTTTAATTTAAATTATTTTGATTGTTAATTCCTGGTGCTATTTTTTCCAGCTGTGCTCTTAAAACATAATTTTCACGATGCAGTCCAACTTCTGATTCTCTCAGGACTGAAATTTGATGTCTCAACCTTTGATTTTCTTGGTTAACATTAGCGAATTGCTGTGTTAACCGTAAGTTTTCTTCCATTAAGTTGCCTCTTTCGACTGCAAGCCTTGAAATGTCTTCCTGGTTCCTAGAAAGCGACATTAGAAGTGCCCCTAAAACGACCAGAAGGATCACAACTAAAAGTATCAGAAAGACTAGGATGCAGATGAGCACTCTGTTTTTTTCTTCCAGTTCATGGTCTCTTGAGGCACCACAAAATAAAGCAGCAGGATTAGCTTTCTCCAACCAGTAATTCATTCTCATCAGCTGCCTGTAAGATAGGATTCAGTTTTTATGGCACTCTGCTATACTAAAGTGTTTCTAATTTTACAGGAAAACCTACAATTAAAGAATCTACAAACCATCACTCACATAAAATCAGAGACAAGCAAATAACTGTTTCAATAGAGTAGCCTGTTTGGAGCACGGATACATCCAAATCTTGCCACGTCTTCCTCTACAACATGTCCGAGATATATGCTTTTCTGTCTGGGCCAGGCCCCCTACTCCTCCTGCTTTGTTTTGTGTGTGTGCGGTTTGTGTTTTTTGTTTTATAGCTGCTGCCTCTGTGGCACCCCTCACACCCACATTGCACCCTTGCCTCCAGTTCATTTAAAATCCATCTGCCTACCCATTTATACCCTATCACCCTTCTCTGAATCCCTCTACCTGCTTCCTCTTTTCCACTATATCAAGTTTGTTTTATTCTTCGTTAAACATTTAAAAAGCCTCCTGCCACTTTTGAAAATGGGACGAAGGCATCAGAGTTGGGGAGGGAGGGTTGCCCAATTGATAAGAGCACTGGCCTGGAGTCAGACTTGGGTTTTATTTCCTCCTCTGCCGCTGGCTTGCTGAGTGACCTGGGGCAAGTCACTTTACCTCTCGGTACCTCCATTTCCCCATCTGTAAAATGGGGATAATACTGAGCCGCGTAAAGCACTCTGAGATCTACTGATGAAAAGCACTGTATAAGAGCTTGGTATTAGTCACTTATGTGCTTTGAAAATTTTACCCTCCTCCCTTTTTTTTTTTTAAAAGCCCATTAGCTGCAACAATGACAGTCCTGACCTCCAGCCTTTCTGCTTCTTAGTGCTTGTTGCCCTATCGCCCTTTTCTGCCTGGCATGCCTTCCCTGATCTAGTCTGTAAAGCCACTTCCCTCTCCTTTGAATCCCTCTTCAAGGTGCCCATCTACCAGGAGCCCTCCAACTAGTCATGGCTAGAGAGAGGGACAGTGGGGATTGCTGAAGTTGTGCATGCAGCTGGCACTTTTTAAAACAAGGTCAGATGTTTTTTCTAAAAGATACGCTCTAGGATTTTTTCCCATGTGCTCTCTGTTTGTTAGGTCTGGCCTTAAACTGGAGCCATTACACAGTACCGTAATACAAATAGTATAGAACCAATAGTGCAAACCAATTTTTATAATAGGTCACTTCTGCTAACCTCTGGTGCAGCTTCTGCCATTCCTGTAGAAAAGGTCCAGAGTTTTCTAGTGTAGACAAGGCCTGTGACTGTGCATCCTTTGGGGCAGGATCTATGGCTTGCACAAGGATGAAAAGCATTGGTGCTTGGCTGCTAATAACATCTATTTCTGTCTGAAAGGGCCTTGCCTTAGACATGAAATATCAAGACTTTAGTTGCCATGGGATTTTTAAACCAAATTTGATTTGACACAGTTTAAGGTTTGATTGTTTCTTACAGTAATTTCAATCTTGGCTGCTGCACAGTGCACAAAACAATATCTAAGACCTACTAGCCCAGAATTTTTTCCTTTGTATTTAAAGATGATTGCAGTCAGGCAAGGCTAAGGCTGAACAGCGAGAAGACAACTCCAGTGCAAATAAAATCAGTCTTTTCCCCGTCCCATGGCTTATTTTGGCATTAATGAATGACCTCATTTTCAGAAAGCAGTAATTGGTCTCCATGGTGTAAACAGCAGAATAAACAAACCTAAAACTGAAACCACCACTGCCAGGATCCATCTTGGGTTTTCCAACACAGCTATCTCCCTGTTTCACCTTTCTCTTGTACAACACACACATTCTTCATTATCTGTTTCTGTATTTTATATTTACTGGGCCAAATTTACCAATGATAACAGAGATGTAGGTATTTGAGTGTGATTTCCATCAGCTTGGTATTCAATGGGTGTGTAACACGGGCAGGGCTGCTGGAAATCTTTATTTTACACATTGGCAAAAGTTTTCTCCCTTGGTGTGTAAATTACTTATTTTGCACGCCGCAGGGATATAGCAGGAAAAGCAACCAATGAGGGTGTAAAATAACACTCCTCTTCGCCTGTCTTTCCGCTCCTAGCTTGCACTCCTTACCACGTTCCACACATTTTGTATACATTCTGCATGCCAAGGTGGTGCAAGTTACACTGCTTTACCAGTTGCATGCATTTCTAACCAATTTACACCCATGCGTTGTCCTAGCTGAATTATCCCTAAAGACTTCCAGTAGCATCCCTTGGTCAGTGTTTAGTCTTGACCAGAGCATGGTGCAGATCTACTGTTAGTGTATGGTCAGTAACCATTTTAGGGAAGGTTTATAGGCAGCAGAAAGTAGATACAGCTTCATCTCACCAGGAACTTACCACTCTGGCTCAATTTCCACTTCACAGAGAGGGAGTGGGAGGAATCTTTCTGAGCTGGATGGCACTCTCTCACCTTGGATTTTTCCTGTGAAAGCAGCAACAGGTGCAACTGCAAATTAAATGTGTTAAGTTAGAGGGGTTTTTATGTTCAGGTGCTGTGCTGCTTCATGGACAAGTGTGGCTTCCCCAGGCAAATAAACCAGGTGCTCACAGGATCCGGTAGGTAAGAAAAAGGAGCAGATTTCTCCCTTTCCTTCAGAGGAGTGGCTCAAACAAAGAAGTTTACTCTTGGCCACTAATTAAAGGGACAGTACAGATTAAAGAGGTATCTCTTATGAGTTACTAGCAGTTACATACAGTACTGGCTACTTGGGTAGAATTTGAAACTGGGCTGTCAGCTCTAGAGAGCAGCATAGGTGCTGGAACTAGGGGTGCTGCTGCACCCCCTGGCTTGAAGTGGTTTCCATTATATACAGGGTTTACAATTGGGTTCAGTGGCTCTTAGTACCCCCACTATAAAAATTGTTCCAGAACCCCTGGAGAGCAGTGAGATGCTGCCTCTTTATAAAGGAAGAAGGGGAAAGAGCAGGGCCACATCACTCTCCCCAGAACAGCTAGTGCCCCGAAGAAGGGCCCCAGCATGAGAAGTTCTCCTATGCCCCAGTAATTACAGAGCACTGACAGAGCCCCTCAACATACACATACTAGCCCACAGATGTTTCTCTTGCATGGGGAGGCAGTGTGGGCTAATAGACAGACCACAGAAGACCTGGGGTTGATTTCCAGCTCCGCTACTGGGCTGCTGGATGACCTTGGGCAAGTCACTTCCCCTCTTTGTGTCTCTGTAAAATGGGGATAAAGGCTCTAAACTCCATAAAGTGCTTTGAGCTGCAAAGTAAAGAGCTAGGTGTCAGTATTATCAGGCTAAAGAACAGCGGCCGTAGTTACCTAAGCCCTACCCTTGTTCTACAGTAACCAGAGCAGACTGAGTGAGCTCTTGGGAAAACTCTCCTTCCTACTTCACACCAACCCATGGCAAGGGCATCTGCCCCATGCACACCTTTCCCCTGGCTATGTCAACTGGCCATGCAGCTAGCAGCCACAGCTCAGGAAGCCATGACTATGATGTAGTGAAGTGGGCCCTACAGTGCTGGAAAGGAAAACTCCCAAGATAATCCTGGAACTCTTCTGTTGATTAAATATAAAATCTCATTCATTTCCTTATGGGAAAACCATTACCCCTGTCTCCTAATCCCATGGTTGCTGTTGTCAGTATAAGCATAATAAAAATTTCTGTTCACGAAGATTCCGCTTTTGAAGTCTCGTGTTCTTGGCATCAGCGTGGCACTGAGCCCAGCCTGCCACATTATAATCCAGGGTTTCAGTCTTTCGCCATTGAAACACTATTTCCGGATGGAACATTAGTATAGAGACAATCCACTATTTGCTCAAGGCTGACCTGGTGCTTGGGGCTGCAGGAGGCAGAAAGGACAGAGGCCACCGCGCCTGCCTTGTAGAAGGTAGGAATGAAAAACCAACTTCTTCTATGATAGAGATGGGTGTGTGTGTGTCTTAAGAAACAGGGTTAGCTGCTATGGTGGGAAGGGAAAATAAAGGCCTCCATGTGAGTTTTCCTATGGACTTACTGCTAACAACCAGGGGCTGTCAATATCCCCATGCAATGGGGCGGGGAGGGGCTTCCACAGCCCCAGTGGTTGGAGGGCTGGGGGTGGGTAGGTGCTGTAGTGCCCCCCCGCAGGAGCAGCTGGGGCCGGGGCTCACCGGACCGCACCCCCCCCCCCCC